AGGCCTCTGAGTAAGGCTCATATGGCCAAGCCAAAATTCACTATAAAACTACCCTTTGAGGGTTTGGACCATGTAAAGAACTCATATGCTTTAAAGGACACTGTGTAGATTTGCTGTTTTCTAACAGCACCTGGCCAACAACAAGCAATTATATTTTCAATTCAATTAAATTTCAAATCAATTTTATTTGTATAGTGCATTTTCACAACATTACATTGTCTCAAAGCACTTTACATTATCCTCACCCAAAGCCCCCAGGGAGCAATCCAGTGGCAAGGAAAAACTCCCTAGAAGGAAGAAACCTTGGGAGGGACCAGACTCAAAGGGGGAGCCCATCCTCCAGGGGGCAGCAGAGGAAGCCCTAACCCTAACCAGAGCCAAAGGGGAAGCCCATCCTCCAGGGGGGCGCCAGAGGAAGCCCTAACCCTAACCAGAGCCAAAGGGGAAGCCCATCCTCCAGGGGGCGCCAGAGGAAGCCCTAACCCTAACCAGACCCAAAGGGGGAGCCCATCCTCCAGGGGGTACCAGAGGACATCAAATGAACAGGATGGCAAAGTCCCAATTAACAGTCAAAATTTCAGTTTACAAGAGCCATGCTTCTGTACTTTTAAACCGTATTCACCCAGTTCTCATGCTACTGGCCATTTCAGGGCCTTGCAGTGCTCCAGCTCCGGGTCTGGAAGCCTGGGTTTGTGTTCCACCCCCACCCCAGGAAGGCCAAGGTACGAGGAACACCACTGTCAGCACTAACGCAAATAGCACATGACACAGCCCCCCCACCACCCCCCTTGCAGCCTGTAGGAAAAAACACCGGCCTGACACACAGATAACCCCAGCCTACTCATACACACTGATAAGTGGTACTGCTGTCCTGGCCTCATATCCTGCAGTTACCTCAGAGATAACACCCAAAATGAGACACCTCAATAAGCTTGCCACCACAAAAAATAAAAACCCTATTTTTATACATCATAGGCTACCATAGGCTTATTTGTTGTTTTTCTCTTGACCAAGGGAACCTGCAAGAATTCCAGAGAACTCGCACTTGATTGGATCTGTGCAAATGGCAAATAAAGTTTGAGTTACATTGAATTCAGTTCATTTCACTGCTTGCTTACATGACTTCAGATATAAGCAGTTGATGTGTAAGACAGACTTGAGTTTTGGTTTCCTCTACACTGGGCCGCGACCCAGGTTTGGTAGGTACTCTGTCGTCCTTCGCGAGTAAATGTTCAGCCCCTCTCACTTCCTGGATGGCCACAGCGCCATGTTCACGCTCTGGGCTGTGACAAAGCATCTGGGGACATGTAAACACGCTCTAACAACTTGGCTCGCCCCATGCAACCAGGCGATGTTCTGGAAAGCCCCTGTCAATGCCGAGAGCCTTCAGACGCGTCCATGCAGCAAGCTGGGCCTTGCCACACACGGCGACTGCCCACTTGTCGCTGCTCCCTGAGCCGAAGTGCCACCTGTATGTTTTCTAGATTTTTGTTACAGGGAGAAAACATGTAGCTCCTAATGCATCTGGAAAATCCCAGCCAATATCAGGGCTTTGAGATCCCAAAGTCAACGTCGACTGAAAGAGTCCGACAGTAGGAGGAAAAGACCCTCCAGACTAGCCTCACAGTAAGATCCACGCCTCTGGAATATATCTTGTTTTGCCCTCTGCTAAACCTCATATGTGTGGACATCGAGACAGATTCCCCGACATACCAATAAAGCGGCTTTTGTCACATGAATTCACGACAAAACATTCCACTTTGAACAACAACAACGGCACCTCGACGCAAGACCCTCCCCAGGACCCATTAATGCTGAAATCCCATTTAATAGTGCTGTGAAGAACTCTGACACCACGTGACTCCCTCTGCAACACATCACTGCCGGCACCTTCGAGCGGGAGAGGCGGAATGAGTCAGAGGGCTGGAAACGCGCCTCGTTCCTGGGTCGTGATCTAATTACCTGCACGCAGAACACCCCCCCCCCCCACACACACACACACGCAGAAGGTTGTCCCGGCTGCACGGCAATGCCAAGCACCTTCCATGTAGATGGAATTCACTGTGCTTACAGGGCTACCTCTCCCAGGCACAAGCAGGTGAAGGCTTAGCGACAGCCGTGTTAAGAAGCCCCATTTTAGGGCTGTGAGGTGTGTAGAGGGCATGGGTCTCCTGGGGTGGCGCCCAGTAACCATCTCCTGCACTCACTCACCATGTTCACGCTCCTGGCTGCAAGACTTCATTATCTGAGGACAACAGTCCATCTCATTCTCCCTTTACCTGCATAAAGTCCTTCCTCTCTCCTCTCTCCCAACTGGAGCGAGTCTTACCGAGACGACACAGGTGTCCGCTGTCCCTGAATATCGATATGTAGGCGTAAGCTCTGCAGCTACTTACACTAATGACAGCTGGCTGTTTACATCCATCCATCTGTTTTCTAACCACTTATCTTAGTTGGTTTTGCAAGGATTCTACTAATGTACTTTGTGTAAATGAATTTTAATGCCCCGTAAACAATTCTATCTAGCTTGACATATGCACCTTACAGCTGTACACCTAATGAGAGCTAGTTTTGTATTTCTTTTTTAACATATTCGATTCAGGTTCAGTATCTCTCTCACGGGCACATTAACAGGCCACCTCTTGGAACTTGTTTTGTGTTACATGGGCAGGTCCCCAAACCAAACCCCCCCCCCCCCACAATCATTAACCATCGCAGGGGGCAGCCTGCTTCGTGGAAAGGGACACGGATTTGTTACTAGGAGTCAGGTCACCCTGGAAATCAGCTGCATGCCTGTTGAAGGAGTCAAAGTGGAACTAAAAAAAGTAACCCCCCCCCCACAAGTCTCCCTGTTTCCATCACGCCAGTGCCGTCAGGATACTCAGATAAGGCACTGGGCCACATTCCAGCTCTACCCAGGGCTAACGTGCATCTCAAATACATATTCATTTACCACAGCACCCCCCCCCCGCTGCCACTCAGCTACGATTGTGACTGTTGCGGGAAAGTGATTAACATAATTCATAATTCTGTCACTGCTGCAGAGATGCTGGCACACAAATACAACCTGTGACAGATTAGCAGGCAATTCTGTGCATCCCCACGTTAAAGTCGTGCCCCATGCATTGTGTCACGTGGGGAGCAACTCAGGGCCTCCTACCCTGGGATCGCAGAGCTCCATTGAAGGTCCAATGTTCTGTAGCCAGTAAGTGACACAGCAGATAGATCAACGATATCTCCAGAACGGCTCACTGCAAATCCACCAGCAAGCTGAGAACCAATAAGGTCAGGAACAAGGTGCACATCAGCTAGACTTTACCATCAGCACAATGCATATACACCTGGATCTTCACCATCAGCACACTGCATATACACCTGGATCTTTACCATCAGCACACTGCATATACAACTGGATCTTCACCATCAGCACCCTGCATATACACCTGGATCTTTACCATCAGCACACTGCATATACAACTGGATCTTCACCATCAGCACCCTGCATATACACCTGGATCTTTACCATCAGCACACTGCATATACACCTGGATCTTTACCCTGAGCACGCTGCATATACACCTGGATCTTTACCATCAGCACCCTGCATATACACCTGGATCTTCACCATCAGCACACTGCATATACACCTGGATCTTTACCATCAGCACAATGCATATACACCTGGATCTTCACCATCAGCACACTGCATATACCCCTGGATCTTTACCATCAGCACACTGCATATACACCTGGATCTTCACCATCAGCACCCTGCATATACACCTGGAGCCCTGCATAGACTAAAAACGAAACAGTACTTACGTACTGTATACAGAGCAAAACCAATAAAATCCTTCCTATTTTAACTAAACCTTAACATTTAAATGAATTGGAATTGTTTAAAAAGGCAGCACAGAAATGGACTGCAGTTCACAACATCCAAAATGGAACAAGGATATCATACAAGGATGAAAAGTTGAAAGTACGCGAATTCAGTCTCAGTCTAGAGGTGGACAAAGTGAACCTGTACTGACGTCAAACAGCGCGTGCTGGTGTTATGCATGTGCTGTACTGGCTCACATACTGGTATCAGAGTATTCCGAGCTGGACGCCGCTGTCACAAGCTGGAGGTTTTGTTCGCAGATCAGGGACCCTTTTTCACCGACAGCCCGTTCGCTTAACGCTTAACCCCATGAAAGAACAGCCGACGACTTTAGATGAGTTACGATAATTGCCGTCTTTGCATTAACAACGAGAGCCTCCTGGGGGTCAATATAACGCTTTTTAAAGTGACCCGGAGAGGCGAGACGAAGCCTGGATCATATTAATTGAAAGACGTGCGGATTTACACAATATACAGTTTCCATCCTGAATGTCGCCTATAAAAGCAGTAAATTGGTGTATTTCAAACATATTAAAGGTTTTTTTCGAGACAACAAAATCGTGGCGATCCCGTATACTGAACATTACAAATCAATTAAAAAGGAATATTTGCAAAATCACTAAAAAAGCATTAAATGGGATGCAGCCTCATAATGTGATAATGTGTTGAATGTGCTGCTTGTGTAATATGAATTTAGCCCACGGTACACAATAACCCTCCCTGTAAACACGACTTAGGGATAATTCATAAAATTTACTTATTCAGATAGAATAAAAGCTTTAAAGGCCCACTGCACAGTTCCTCGATCAGCATGTGTCACTTCAGTTCTAGCAATATTTTAAAATCAAATCTTCCGACTCTACGCGCCAGGACTCTGTAGAAACATTTAATGAACACTTAAAATAATCTAGTTGCCATCCATGCTCCCTATCTTGATTTATTTACAAGTAACGCATCAGTTTATTCACACGTAAAATGTTATGTTTTAAACAGTTTAATTAAAAATGTCTTCTGCCATAACAGCATGGCACTTTGCGAAACCCAAAGCATTGCCATGCACTAAGATGTATTTTCAAAACTAATAAACATAATAAATAAACAGAGGGATAGTTCTTACTTGGCATACTACCGCTAATGACGACCAGGGCGGCGCAGAGAAGAAGCCCCGGGAGGAAGGAGCGTCGGGGCCGGCTCTCGGCAGCGCTATTCGGGGACAGCATCCTTACGGCTTAGGACTCGGATGCGGGGAGTAGGGGCTGATCATTCCCCTGCCTCCCCCCCACCTCACTCCCCAAACGTAGAAAATCTTTAGCTGTCACCAAAGAAGGAGAGTCGAAATGATGCGCTTGGGATGCCCTTGTTTTGGTGCACGGCAGCCTTTCTTCCCGGATTTGGAAAGGGAAGCGCGGTGCGCAGAGCTGTCCGCTGGACTGAAGGACGAGCGTCAGGCCGTGTCGTCACAGCCCCCATTCATCGGCCGCTCGTCGGGCGGTGCGCTGCTGACGCAACGCAGCTACTGCTGGGAGGCGGAACTTAATGAGGCGTCAGGGAAACGATCAACCACTAACAGAACAATGAACACAGTACTGATATATTATTTTAAAGTAGGTCTATGCCAAACCGCATGTCTGTATGTTCAGGCCCCAAAGAGAACTGACATATTATACTCACAGCCAGATATGCACAACGTGGATACTCATCAACTACGGTCTGGATCCTAGGCTATGACATTGCTGTCACAAGGTTGGATGTCGTTTACACAGTGACAATTATCCATCCATCCATTTTCCAACTGTGCATTCTAAAATGTATTATTATTACTAGTAGTAGCCTAGTAGTAGTAGTAGTAGTAGGCTAGTAGTAGTAGTAGCCTAGTAGTAGTATTCACTTTGGCAATCCACGTCTTAAAAAAAAACACTCGTAAAATTGTATTTGTCTAATCTACACCGATTTTCCCGGAAGATGTGATTGTCAAAGATTGAAATTGAAAAAACTGAATATTTTCTGCTTTTTCAGAAGCCAAACTCAGGTTAATGTGAGGTCATATGTGTAAACTAGTCACCCCTTTGCCAGACCCGACCTGTATATATCAGTTATGAAATGTTTCCAGAATTAAAATTTCTATTCACGTGACGTCTTTTTGACTGCTGAGTCACCGTGTTTTCCTTGATTTGAGGTCATAACATCTAATGGTTACTTTCATAAATTGTGACCCTGCTGAAGCTGATTGGGACACTAGGTAGCCTAATGAAATATTTCCAGTATGATGATAATGATGGTGAAGTCACCTGAAATGTTTTTGGCTGTCGAGTCACTGTTTTTTCCTCGATTTTTATGGAGCCACAACATCGGATATTCTGACGCCAAACAAATCACGGAAAAAAACGGTGACTCGGTAATCAAAAACAGCGGCATCCAGGTGCACTGTATTAAATAAGACATGTTCACATTTTAAAGAAATAAAGATTGCAATATGTGCTATCATTTCCAATGTCACAACTGAGAAATTAAAACAAACTTCTTAAGTTCACGTCTGCTTTATCGCAAGGATCAGATATGTCCGGAAATCTGATATAATAGCTAATCTGCCCTCTGGTGGCAGTTTTTTGGGATAGGCTACATCTTCTCAGGCTCAAGATAGAGTATTCAGAGACTATTGTGGCTTTAAAATGATACATTGCATACGTTATTCATTCTTAAAGCAGCAGCATGTACTAAAATCTCGGACTTTAAAGCTGGTGACTGTATTGCACAGTGTAGAGATTTCCCTCTGCCGTCCAGTTGCTGTCTTGAATTCATTAATTAGAAAAATGTCACCTGGCTAACATAGGGCTCTATGACATCGCTGTGGTCTATGCCTTTTCCTCCCTAAACATGTCCAGCGCTAAAAAGGAAACAGAAGATTAATTTATTTTTTTCTTTTATTTGAAACAAAATCTTTCACTTCACACAATGTATTAGAAAAAAAATGGCACTGTGGATAAATATTAAAGATAAGTATTACAATAGAATGACCATGATGCCGCCCGCAGAACCAGGGAACTACTGCCCCCTGGTGGCTGCTGACCTGGTTCAGCACCACGGACAGCAGCCATTTGTTAAAAGTTCAGCACCTCCACACTGGACGTGCCATTAAAAGCTGCCCCAGCCAAAGTTCTCCATGTCTGGCTTTCTCTAACAGCTTCAGCTGGTTCAGGCACTGGAGGGTTTCATCAGCAGCCAAAAGGAGGACTCACCCAGAGGCAGAGTCATAAACAGCCCTGTTTGGCTATTTCTCTGTAATGCTGTCTCTGGGTCGGACATAGAACTGAGACTTGATAGGAGGGTATTGCTGGCCTGTGCCCTCTGCACCAGATATGTATTGTTGTGTGGCCATTGCCTCAGAGGAGGGGTAGAGAGCTCTCAGCCTCCATTCCTGCCACCTTGAGGTGACCATGCTACACCTTTCACCGTTACTCACACATTCTCAGTATGATGGATACTTATTGCACAGTATTGGGTCACTGTGGCACCATGGGCCCCTAGAGCCCATAAATGATCTGCAAGAGGTTAAACTTTAACTGGGTCTGAGACACAAGATCAGGCAGGGCAGTGTGAGGATGCCAAGTGCATAGGGACTGTTGTTAGGGACTGGAGTGAGGCATCACTGATGAGTGCATAGAGACTGGAGTGAGGCATCACTGACTAGCACGTAGGGACTGGAGTGAGGCATCACTGATGAGTGCATAGGGACTGGAGTGAGGCATCACTGACTAGCACGTAGGGACTGGAGTGAGGCATCATTGATGAGTGCGTAGGGACTGGAGTGATGCGTCACTGAGGAGTGTGTCGTAGGGACTGGAGTGAGGCATCACTGACTAGCACGTAGGGACTGGAGTGAGGCATCACTGATGAGTGCACAGAGATTGGAGTGACGTATCACCAAGGAGTGTGTAGTGAGGTGTCACTGAAGAGTGTGTAGGGACTGGAGTGAGGCATCACTGACTAGCACGTAGGGACTGGAGTGAGGCGTCACTGAGGAGTGTGTAGGGACTGGATTGAGGTGTCACTGACGAGTGCATAGGGACTGGAGTGAGGCGTCTCTGAAGAATCTTTAGGGACTGGAGTAAGGCATCACTGACTAGTGTGTAAGGACTGGAGTGAGGCATCATTGACGAATGCGTAGGAACTGGTGTTAGGCATTACTGACGAGGGCATAGGGACTGGAGTGAGACATCACTGACGAGTGCATAGGTACTGAAGTGAGGTGTTACTTATTAGTGCCAAGGGACTGGAGTGAGGCTTTGCTTACAAGTGCATATGGACTGGTGTGAGCCGTCACTGATGAGTGCACGGTGACTGGTGTGTGTTACTAACAAGTGCATAGGGACTGGCGTGAGGCATTATTGACGAATGCATTGGGATTGGCATAAGGCATTACTGATGAATGCATAGGGATTGGCATGAGGCATTACTGATGAATGCATAGGGATTGGCATGAGGCATTACTGATGAATGCATAGGGATTGGTGTCAAGCATTACTGATGAATGCATAGGGATTGGTGTCAAGCATTACTGATGAATGCATAGGGATTGGTGTCAAGCATTACTGATGAATGCATAGGGATTGGTGTCAAGCATTACTGATGAATGCATAGGGACTGGCGTGAAGCGTTACTGATGAGTGCGTAGCGACGCATGTGGTGTATGGATTGGCATGAGGCGTTACTGACAAATGCATAAGGACTGCCTTACAGTGTTACTGACGAATGCATAGGGACTGGGGTGCAGCATTACTGAGGAGTGCACAGTGATTGGCATGAGGCGTTACTGACGAGTGTACGGTGATTGGCATTGGGTGTTACTGACGAGTGAATTGCAACCGGCGTGAGGCATTACTAATGAGTGTACAGTGATTGCCATCTCTGGGACTAAATCTCTGGGACTGTTTTGCTGTCACTTCATATACGCAATAAAGATCAAATCCTGGCAGAATATCAGCGCTAGGGGGCGCCTACGCCTTTATAAAGATTTAAAGCTAACTTGCTAAACCGATGATGTAAGATAACAGCAGCAGGCTTTCCCAAACAGTCATTAAATTAAGCCGTACGCAGATTATCTGCTTCTTTTAAAATATTTAATTACTGTTTTTAAAGTCGCTTAATTAAATTTTTTTACACTTTTCGTCTGAATGTAAGTGCTACTTTCAATTAATGCTAGTAACAAATATGTAACGGTTTTACTTAATAATTTATCATACCTCGAGAAAAAAATGATTTATTATAGTGCAATTTTATTCAAATATCTATATTTTGGTTCAATCGTTGTCTTATAGTGATACACTTCAAACAAAATCAAATCAAATCACTATTATTGCTACATCAGTAGAACGTGTGCACTAGTGAGTGAAAGTCTGGGCTCAGAGGTCCCCAGCATTGTAACACACTAAATAAATACAAACTGTACATAGAACATTAACTGCACAACAATATGCACTATACATATTCACAAAATACAATTCCCGATAAACATTCTGTGCAGACTGTAGGTCCAATAACAACTGCAAATACCAACAAAAATAAAAGTTTAGGGAACTAAAAGCCGTTCTTAGTAGTGCAATGGAGAGCGGAGATGGTGTCCTGTGGTGTGACTGATGTAGCGGACCTGCAGGGGCATCACATGGACTCAGATTGGGGTGCATTGGTCTTCAGCCTGAAATAGTGCTGTTGTCTACGTCATTTGTAGTATTTTTTTTATAATTGTGTTCTACGTCTAAAAGTGTACGTAACGCTATATACATTAAAGATTATATCGGCACATTGATTTACAACTAAGATTCGCCTGGGTGACATAAAATTGGTCTTCTGACCAAAAAGATTCAAGAACAACAGTTATCAATCTAAATATTAAAATGATAGCCAGAGATTCACCATAGACCTGCATAAATGTCGATATAAGTAACGATAATGTTTTTTTTTACTGGGAGCTTATTTGCATCTCCCGGCATGCTCCGCGATATTGTAAATATCCCTTGTCTGCCTTCTTGTTGCCAGTCATTGTGTCGTGCTTCGAAAGTTGGTTTGTATAATTATCGGTGTTACACATGATCCCTGTCCGCTCCTTGCTGGTCTCCGTTGGCTCTGTAAATGCTTACCGTGTGTGCGACCTCATGTTTTGAAATTAACCTGCCTTTTATATTTGCATAACAGAACTCGGGTTTTCACTATTTGCCGGTAAGCACCGCTTCGTGCTCTTTCTGGCGGATGTCCTGCTTATACGTGTGGTTTTGACAGTATTACGCGAGATGTCCCATATGTAGAGTGTCTTGTCGCTGTGTCCTCTGTGTATGTCAGGTCTTTACTGCCCTGGGATAGACCTCTCATTCCCTGGGTGGGTGTTGCAATGCCCTTTGGTACCATTTCTCAGTAGATCACTGCCAGAGTGAAAGATAAAGGTGTCTGTTATGTATGGTGTAGCTTAGCACTATTTTATACCACAGTGT